CTTGGTGTAATCCCAACACCAAGAATACAAATCCCTTACAATAAAGTAAGAAAACAAACCGCAACCGAGTAATTCTCCCAACACGGAGTAGATTGTTGCAAATACAATGAAGTCCTTTAGAATATGGCAATATCTCTCAAAGACTCAAGCAATGAGGAAAAACTCAAGCAAGAAATGATTTAGCAATCAAAACAATTGCCTTGCTTGGATATAAGTAGGGGATTGAGTAGAATCTCTTTGGATATTCAAAGGATATGTTTTTCAAAGTTTTCTAAGTGTTTCTTATAAAGATAATCACGAAAGTAGATAGTTTATAGAAGTTAGGGAGTGGATAGGAATGAAAAGCATTCAAAAAACTAGCCGTTTAGTAGTTGAAACTGTCGAACTATTCGACTAAATCAAGATTTAGTCGACTAGTTTTGGTGAAACTGCAATCTGACTTATTCAACTAGTTCTGGATTTATTCAACTAAGTCAGAATAGAAGTTCATGGATTTATTCGAATAGTTTTCAATTTATTCGAATAGTTTGCTGAAAAAAATGTGTTTTAAAGGTAGGATGATAAGGGAATGAACCTTAGAGATGCCATACTCTTTAACACATAATCTAAGACCTAAAACACTACCCAACTAAGGAAATAACCTCTTCGGTATTGTTCCTTCCACCGATGCTCAAGACCCTTCTTCACGGACGGATATGAACTTGTTGTAGCTTTGATTCTTAGCCTTGATGCACAATGTGATGATGATGTTTTGTCACCCTTTTGTCATTATCAAAACCTAAAAGACAATGGGCAAAGGACATTGCAAAAATATATATTCATGATAGCACATTGTCCAACATATGACAACCATGTGTTTTGATAATGACAACCATGCATATGGGATGAGCTTTGGATCTGGATCTTTTCATATAGATTGTCTAGCACGTTGCTTAAAGATTCGAGACAAGATTTGAAGATTAAAGGTTTTCTAGATTTTTATTTCTTTTGAGTCTTAGTTCATGTTAAAGTGTTTGGCACATCTTTATTTTTCAAATAATTTGTTTTTCCTACAGGAATTCCTCTTTGATTGTTCTCAAAACCTTTCTTCAAAATGTTTCTTCCTAGGTTTTTATTCGAATAAATTGAGATTTATTCGAATAAGAGGGGCTTCTGCAGTTTGCACTTCAGTCTGTTTTTTAATCGAACAAATGCTTGTTTTATTTGAATAAGGGCTGATTCCAGTGCTTCCAAAGTTTTCAAAATTATTCGAATAAATCCCTATTTATTCGAATAAATTGGATTCCAGTGTTGTAGTTCGTTCTGTCTTATTCAAATAAATCCAGTAATTATTCGAATAAGACCTGTGTTCCAAATATCTTATTTACTCAAACTATTTGAATAAATTGTGTTTTATTCGAATAAATCGACAGTTTTTTACAGATTAACGGACACTTTTGAATCTTTTTGGAAGTTACTTTATCCCTATCTCTATTTATTCAATCATATCTCGTTTTTCAAAAAAGAGAACACCCAAGAACACTTTCAATAACATTCCTTTGATTAAACAAAGAGATTCATTCAAGTCATCATCTCCCTACTCAATATTCAAGTTCTTCATTTGAGAAATCTTTCTTCACTTTGAGTTGGAAAGTTTTTTGTGTGCCATACACTATACAGTGATTGTAATCTACAGCATATCCGCTCTTGTTTGAGGAGTATTATCCGCTGTGCAAATTGTTTGCAAGTTGTATAGTTGTAAAAAGCTTGAATTCAGAATAATTCAAGTTTTGGATTGAAATCCAAAGTCTTGTGAAATCAAGACTTCGGTGGAAAGATTAGAGACTTGTGAAATCAAGTTCTCGAGTTGTATTCGGATTGTTAAACTCCGTTAAGTTTAACAAGGATTAGTGGAATCTCGGGCACGTTTGCCTTGGGATGGGGATTGGACGTAGGCATTAGGCCGAACCAGGATATATCGTTGTCTCTTTACATTCATTATTTCCGTTATCCTTTTAATATTTATTCCTGCACTTTTATACTTAAAGCCGAAAATTTTATTATTTTTGTAAACACCTCTATTCACCCCCCCTCTAGAGGTGTGAAAGACGTCTAACAAATTTTATTTAATGTCAAAACTTTGAATTAACTAAGGTCTCAAAACAATTTAAAAGAAATAAATAGAGCAGCAAAAAGTGGTTAGAAATCCTAAGAAATAATCAAGTAAAAAAAAAGCTCAAGAAAATTTATTTTCTTTTCTAAAATTTGGAAACCTTTTACTTAATACTTTCATTCAATATTTAATTTTTATTGTTTGAATTGACTAGTGTAGCGAGTCTCAACCAGGCTACCTCAGGCCCATTTTAGATAGCCCAAGACCTAAATAACGAAGTATTCTAAGGGTATCAACTCGAGTTCTCAAACAACATTTTTACTCATTTATTTATTTTTCTCTTTTTTTCTTTTTTCCGATGAACGAGGGAATAAAGTAATTTGACCGGTAGGAATATCCAAAGTGTACCGGTCCAATTCCGGGCAACCGAGTACTGTATTACTGACGATTTAGGTCTCCCATCCTGATGAATGGACTCTCACCGGTTAAATATTTGAATGTCTTCTTTGACCGGTTTTGGGTGGAATACACCCATCAATGGAAAAAGTCTAAAATATGAGTAAAACATTAAAAACATATTAACATATGAGTTTCATATTTTTATTTTTGAAATACTAGTTAAAATGTATTTACGTTACCAATCATTATCGTGTACATTACCAAAAACTATAGTAATATGCATATGTACAGTGCCAAATTTCCATTATGTGAACTTCTATTTAGAGAATAAAAACATGAAACTCCTATTTGGATACTTTATGTTTTACTTTTATTTAAGGTGATTTAGTTTTGGGAAAAATACTAAAGTAGGAGTAAAATATTAAAAATATACCAAAATAAGAGTTCTATTTTTTATTCACAAAATAAGAGTTAAAATACATTTACATTACCAATCATTATCATGTACATTACAAAAAAGTATGGTAACATTTACATGTACAATGTCACATTATCACAATGCAAACTCCTGCTTAGAAATTAAAAACATTGAATGACTTTTTTGATACTTTCTCTATGTTTTACTCTTGTTTAGAATGATTTTCTTCTTTCCTCTTCCAGCACAGATTTCTTAGTTCCAAACTTTCAGACACAAAACCCGGACTCTGTTTGGTACACGAAATTAAAACTATAAAATTAAAATTAAGGACAACAATTCCAATTCTACTATTTTGTATCACAAAAATATGTAGATTTGGATTTGACAGTGTCAAAAATAAATTAAAATTATGATATGTTTGGACACATGGATTTGGATATCAAATCCGGATTTGACATAAATTTCATGTTTGGAAAAATTAAAAATTTTAAAGCTCTATTGTCTCTTATTCATAACAAAGCTGAATTTGAAATTCATGTAACTTCTATTGTCATTTCAAATTCAAAATTTTAAATTTTGGAATTGAAACATGTGAATTGAAATAAAATATACTCGTAGTTTAGAAACACTACCAAAATTCAATTCCATCAAAATCAATTATATAAAATTTTAATTGTTCAATTCTAATTCCAACCATTTATACTTTTTTTTCACATATCTCGACCTAATCGTACATGCACCCGTACACGTATCTGATGGCAATCTGGATCAATAATCAGATCTAGGGCAGGAGTTTTTGAGTTTCTCATGAGATTCGCAGAGTTATGCATTGCAAATGCCATAATTGCTTGAAACTCTAAGCAAGGTATGTGATTTGAATAAGCAAACGTGTATTGTGGTTTTGGGGGAAAATTCAGCGATTATTTTGGTTTGTTCAGCTGTCGTTTGGGTAAGAAATGGTTTTCGGGAGATTTTGTTGATTTCAACGCGGCGGGAAGCTGTATTTTAGAATTCTAATTCTAAGTCTATTTACATTTTCTATTTTTGTAGGGATCATATCCTAAAATTCAACTGCTAGATGCTTGTAACTAATTGAGGGGTTACTGAAGTCAATCTTTTCATTTTTGTGTCTAGTCTTGCTGCCCTGGCATGACCTTGATCATTGTTTTAGGATACATTGTGTTATTCACAATTTACCTCTGAATGGGGGAAGCTAATAGTGAAGTTTGTGGGGCGGTGTTAAGTGAAGGATTGATGGAATTTGAGAAGCCAAAGGTTGCTCCTTTGGAATGTGAAAATAAAAATGTGGTGGGGGGCACGGAATCAGAGCTGTATAGCAAGAAGAAGGCAGATGATCTTCTAGCTCATATTGACATTGAGGGCTTCATGCACAACCAAACATGTGAAAGACCGAAGAACAATGAATTGGAGTCACTTGCTGAGGGGAAGGGAAATGATGACCCAAATTGTCATGGTTTAAAACACTGTTCTACTAATGAAGTGAAGGAAGTTTCAAATGATGATATGTTCTCAGAAGTCTCAAATCCTAATTTGTCACCTTGGGATCACACTTCGAGCTTCCAGACAATAAGTAGTTCACTGGTTGAGTGCACAATTAATTCTCAAGTTGTTTGTGCTGAAATAACATCTTCTTGTTCAGGCAGAGAAGAAAGTTTAGACGTGGAAGACCCAACAAGCAATGAAGCATCTGGACCGGATACTGCAACACGTATAGTACTTGAAATTCCAAAGGAATTTAACACCACTGGTGTTAGGAAGATTACATTAAAGTTCAGAGAAAGCACTGATAAGAGTCAACTCTCAGTTTTGACTACCTCACCTTTCACTAAGGGAGACCTTTTTGGATTTAATAATCATTCAGTTTGGAATCCTGTAGAACCTAGTGGTGTGGATGTGGAATTCGATTCAAGCACAACTAAGGAATTGTATCAAACAGGGAATCCTTGCCTACATCCTCCTAACATGGGACTGAAAATGACTAAGAAGGTTGTTCCTGACATCTACCCGACCAATGTCAAGAAGCTCTTATCAACAAAGATATTGGAAGGAGCACATGTGAAGTATATTTCAACATCTGGCCAGGTAATATTTGGTTTCCTCTAAATTGCTGTTTGAAGTGTGATTATCTGTATATTTTATATATTTTAATTCTATTCAATGATCATCAGAAACAGCTTCCTGGGATTGTAAAGGATTCTGGGTATTTATGTGGATGCTCTTTCTGTAACTTCTCCAAGGTAAGGTACCCCTTCCAAAAGTGTACCTCACATATTTAGGGATGCACTGAACATATACATTATAAGCAGGTTTTGAGTGCCTATGAATTTGAGTTGCATGCTGGCGGAAAGACCAGACACCCAAATAATCATATATATTTGGAGAATGGAAAGCCCATTTATAGCATAATCCATGAACTAAAGACTACACGGCTCGACCTTATCGATCCAATGTTAAAAGACGTGGCTGGTTCTTCCATTAATGAGCAAAATTTGAAGACATGGAAAGGTGATTATCATAGTCAATAACTTGTGCTATTATTTCATTTATTAATTTCATCTGACTTGTATTTCTAACATCTTATAAAGTATGGTCCACATGAATAAGCGTTATAGACGGATGATTAAATGGATTGTGCATGGATTTCGGTGAGTACTGCCACTATGTAAAACTACTAATTATTTAATGATGTTTGATCAAGGAAAAAAAATCAAATGAGGACTTCAGTACTTAGGAGATTCTTGTAGTCAAAGATCTCTTCGTGGTGGAAATCTAGACAAGCTTTTGAAAGACTATTTTATTTAGATTTCATATTCATAGAAGAAAATCTTTCCATCATCTCCGATGGAGCCAAAATTTCACCATTTTTTGGCTTTGGGGTGTGATGGAATAAATCAAAATAGATCTCTAAACTGTTTGCGCTTCTTTAATTTATGAAGTAGCAGTTAGTCAAGCAATGCAACTTTCGACGTTGAGCTGGGGGTCTCTTTGGAAACAGCCTCTCTACTTTCGAGTAGGGGTAAGGTCTGCATACACACCCCTCCCCAGACCCTACTCTTGTGGGATTTAACTAGGTTGTTGTTGTTTGTTGTTGTATTCATAGAAGAAAAGCTAGTATTAACTATTAATTTAATAACTCACCACTCATTGAGAATGTCAGAATGCGTTGAGCTACAAGTTAAGTGTCATGTTTGACCCATTTAATTTTGTTTGTGTTCCAAAATGTAGAACTCTGGGAAAATAGTAAATTTATACGAGTATATTAGAAAAAGGTTTATTTGTTAGATATGAGGAAAAGACCCATATCTTTCAAGAAGCCAAATTAAGGTTTCTTTTAGAAGGCATATTCTAAAGGAGTCATAGTATGTCTCAAGAGTGGATGTACATGGTGGAATATTAAATAAAACATTACAATTTATCCCTAGACACCTAACTCACGTTCACACTTTAGAGTCTTAGTTTCTTTTCTTCATTTTCTATAAATGAACACGTATGGTACTATTGCAATATCAATACATCATAACATATTAACATAGGGGGTGTTTGGTTTAAGGAGAGGGGAAGGAAGGGAAAGGAAGGGGAGGTGAGAGAACTCATAGAAGGCCTTATTTTGGTTCAACTGTTCAAGAGAGGAGGGGATATATTGATTAATAAATATTTAATTTATTTGTAGTACTTTATAATTGATATTTTTCTCCGAAAATATTTGAGTTAGAACTTAGAGAGTGATATATTAAGGAGTAAATGTAATTTTTAATAAAAAGTTATACCAAAATAGTTTTCAATTTCTAAGTTAAAATTAGAAAAATTAAAATGTATTCTACCAAACAAGGGGAATCCATCCCCTTTCCTCCCCTCCCCTCTACAAGTGCTAAATCAAACAAGATCTTTCCTCCCTCTCCAACCAAATACACCCATACTCTTATCCCTTCCTCCTCTACTGGCTTTCTCTCTAACTTCTTCGTAGGTGGCCTAGCCTTAATCCCTTAACATTTAGAAGGGTAGCATGGCACCCTTCTTGAGGATTGAAATCTTCCATTGCTCAAGCTTTCTCTTGAGAGTATTTTAGTTTTGTTTTTTTGATTAGTTTGTTTCCCTTCTCACTACTGCCTTCCGACAAGTAACCCTGCAAAATCTCACAACCTTCCACATTGTTGAGTCACCCGCGCTGCAAAGGCCTGTCTAATGACAAGTTATTTAACTCAGCTCAAATCTCCGATGGTCTTGTCCAGTTTAGACCAATGAGTTCGAAAGTTTATAGGGCTTGTCTCAATTGAAATTCCACCTGGTTTTATGTTCTTCAGCTCTTTTGCAAACTCAAGTTGTTTCCACCAATTTGGGTTGAAGGAGATGTTAAAGTATATTATTATGCTATATATCCTCTCAACACACAAAGCTCTCTTTCTCTCACACACTACTGTCTCAAACATGTGTTTTCTCCTTTCCTTCATTATATAATTATAGCACTATTGTGATACAATATTCATCAACATATTTTCCCATTGTTACTCTATGGTGTTCCTGTGTCTTCCAACATAGATTACACGTTCCTTTCTTCTTGTTTTCTATGAAGTTTTGGGCAGTAGATCTATGATGCATAGAAGTGTAGCTTTTCATAGATCTATGATGATCCAAGTGGCATTTCACTCCAATGAAGTTTTGGGCAGAGAATGCAAAAATGCATCAAGGGTCTAATAGAACCAACCTCTCTTTTTTTATAGGGGTAAGACTTCATACATCTTGATCCCAACAAAGATTGTTGTAGATAAAAGCAGGAGGTGTATACATAATACATCCTCGAATAAATGAAACAAAGGTCAAGAGCTAATATTCTGTGAAAGAGGGGAAATTGCTGCCAGCGAACCCTAGCCCTCAATCCTTGTTTCCTCCATTGCTGCTTTTATAGATTTCGGCAACTCTCTGTGTTGTTGAAGAAGGGAGATGATTCAGAGATCTGAGAGCATGAATGGGAGTTGCAGAAGAACAAAAATGGTGGGAGAATACACCAGCCGGCCATATGGGACTCTACCTCCCTGTTGACGAAGAAGAAACGACTCTCACTCCCTGTTGTCGAAGAAGAAAACAAATATTCAATCCAAACAAAATTTCATCCTCCTTTTTCATCTCCTCTATAATACTCTCCCTTCCCTTTATTAAATTTGGTCAATTCTATCCAAACATAGCCTTAAAGATAGTCCCAACAATGTTCAAGTAAGTGTTTGACTCCTCACTCTTTCTGAACGCCTTGCAAACTACTGAGGATACGGCCAACTCAATATCTAGCAGTTGTTACTTTTGTATGGTCCAGCTATCCAATTTGCCCGGTTTAATTATCTGCCAATCCCCTAGGGCTTATATTTACTTTGAGAGTAGTGAATTTTCATTAATCCATGCTTGAACCTTTAGACTTATCAGGTTGAAGGGGAGTGTTAAAGCATTAGATTTATAATTCACTTCACAACTTATCCCAACAGACACAACTCTTAACCACACTAGAGTCCTAATTTATCTTATTCACTCTCTATTTTAAGAACATGTATTTTACATTTGTAGAATCAATACATAATAATATTTGGCAGATTGGCCTCAAACTGCCACTTTTAGCAGTATTTCTTTCACATTTTTCAGCTCATTGGCAGATCCACCGTTATACATGCACCCCCATATTTCCCTTCTTTCGTCTCCTGATTTTTCCGTCTACTTTCCACTGACATGGTGGGTAGTGGCTCTAACAACTCGCCTAGCCTTAATGTAAATATCTCCCCGTTCAAATTCCGAAAGGTACAGCCGCAACAATCTCATGATATACTTGAACATCTAGACAATTATTTATAATCTATTGTGTGACTTCTGATCATTGGTATCATGGTGTCGCCTAGGAGCCAACATGGCGTTCAGGTGGTGTATACGCCATGGTGGATCAACTCGCCTTATTTAGGGTTTATCGCCTAGGTATCGGTGTTTTGGACGACCTGGCGTCCAGGTCCTGCCTTGCGGATGACTAGACGCCATGTGTCTAAGACTCTAGAACCCATTAAAGTGGTAAATTCGAAAGCGCTTCTCTCTTGCCGTCGGAAGAGGTCTTGCTTTCTCTCCTCTGGTCTTGATCGATTCTCTTGCCTCGATCGATCGATAGAAATAGGTAGGGTTTTTTTGCATCTCAATTGATAGTACTAGATAGTATTTTAAAGTGCTATATACCACGTAATTAGCTGACTCCAGTGCTTTATTTTTTAGTGCTTTATAATTAGTTTATTTCCAATCTAATGCTTTTTTTTCTAACTCATCTTCCTAATTAGTACTTGGTGCTTAGTCTTTTTTAATGTTAAATGATCTATTTATTTCCAATTTAATTTGGTAATGCTTTTTTCTTTTTCAAATTTAGAAGTTAAACTTTGCTGTATTTGAGATTTAAGCTTTATCAACTACAACATATAAAGTGATATTTTCATATTAGTGTTTTTAATGTATAACAATTGTCTTATATTACATGTCACCTAGTCGACTAGGCGTCCTGTACACCAGCGCCGTGCCTCGCCTTGGCGTAGTATCAACTATGCTTCTGATTCCTTGTCTTTTCCAGGAACACTCCTGCTGAGCCGTGATGGTGTTGGGTCAAACAGCTTTTATGATGGCAATTCACCAGGCATCTTTCATTCTACAGCAAGGTGCCCTATTTTAGAAGTTTGTTTATTTTTCCAGCTGAAATTTCCCCTCCTTTCATTTCAGCCAACTAAATTCTCCCACATGCAATGCTCGGTGATAATATTATTTTAACTTATGTGTAACCATACGCTATTTATAAAAGGATATATGGTTTAAAATAATTCTCTCCCCTAAACAAATGCTATCTACTCTCTTTTCATTTTTCAACATTTCTCTTTTAACCTTTATAAAGAAAAAATGAAAATTTCATTTAAGACGAAGGGAAATCATACTCCACCCACTATACTAAGATTTTTTCAATCACAAAATTATCATTCAAACAATTTCTTCCGAATTTATTTATATATTTTCATCAATCATATGTTAAGATAACATAATATTGTTTATAGAGTTTGTGAATACACACACACACGTGTGTGTGTAGATTGGAAAAATATGTCAGTGCTCTTAGAAATTAGAGATTAGACTTTATGCAAAATTGCAAATACTCCAAGATTATAAAATTATTAGTGTGCTCCTTAGCATATCTATTTTTATAATAATACTCCAAAATATAAGCTGTTCACATACACTTATGAAAATGGGTCATTAATGCAAAATGAAAATTTTCTTGTTGTAATATTGTAAAATATTTAAATTTTTGAAGCAACTGTGATAATCATGTTATCCTAGAATGTTTGTGTAAAATCTCAAATTCTGAGAGTATTAACATAAATGTTTCCTTTATTTTTTAATCTTACAACAATATTATAATGAATTTAATCAAAAATAAATAAAATTATACCTCATTGCAATTGAATCTAATTGGGAAGAAGTATGTTACTAAATACGACTCTACACTCCATTCTAAATGAAATTGCAACAACAACAACAACCCAATAGGATCCCACGAAGAGTAGGGTCGGGGAGGGTATGTGTACGAGGACCTTACCCTTACTCGAAAGTAGAAAGGCTATTTCCAAGAGACCCCTGCTCAGTAACACATGGATAACACAGATAGCACAAGCGCGAACACATAAATCAGAGAAAGTATAGAGCATAAAAACAACAAAGAACAACTAAAAATAACAATAGAGAAGCACATCAAGCATAAAGCACACAAGAAACAGGCATACAAAAAACAAATGGGAAAACTACCACCCAGTCCAACACGCCTACCCAACTACCCTAATTTGAGCTCTCCAAATGTTCCTATCTAAGGCAATATCCTCTGTAACTACTAAAAGTCTTAGGTCTTTTCTAATCACCTCCTTCCTGTTCTTCTTAGCCCTTAGGTCTACCCCTTCCCCTACTTCAACCTTGTTTCCCACAACTTATCCTCCAGAGGTGCCACTCCTACCCGTCCTTAGATAACCTCGTTCCGTATCCTATCCCTCCTTGTCTTTCCACTCATCCACCGCAGCATTCGCACACCTGCAACATGTAGTCGATTCACATTTGTCTTCTTAATTGCCCAGTACTCCGCACCATACAGCTCCGCACTATGCAACATAGCTGGTTACGAACCAGTATAACTTACCTTTCATTCTGTTTGAAATCTTCCTATCACATATCACACAGAACCCTTAAAGAAATCCCAATTTGCTAAAAAAAAGAGAAAAGAAATGGTCAAATATCTAATACATTTATTTTAATGTTTGACTCATTCTTGCAAGGCTCATCATCATATTAGAGCTGATTAAACACTCCTAAACAAAAAGGGGATAAACAAAAAAAAACTAAAGAAAGTTTCCCTTCACTTATAGAATGCTACATGGGCCAAACTTTTCACAAGCCAAGTACATTTCATAAGAAATTTCTTCTTCCTTGCACTGTCCTTCATCAACTTATGTTCAATCTAGATCTTGCTAACATGAACATTCTTTCTTGCCTCAGTAATAGCAATCGTCTTTTTTGTCTCCGTGTAAAACTCTCTCTCCACACTCCACAATAATCAACACCCACAGTTTTTCAAAATTTCTTACTGGTATAGGAAATTTTTTAATATTCTCCTCTATATCACTAACAACTGGAGATGAGAAAAATCTGAGAAACAAAATGAAAGACACACACACACACACACACACTTTCTCTTAGGGCTGTAAATGGATAACCAAAAATTTGATTACTATCCGCATTCATATCCATTTATACAGAAATATCCCATCCGTTTAAATCAATTATTATCCATAGCCGATTAAAGACATCTGATTGATAAACGGATACAGATTTGGTAATCATACATCCGATCCGTTTATAATCCGCTCCACATATACATCCAGTCGAGTAATTGTTTATTTGTGTATCCAATCCGTTATATATAGTTTTTCCCAATTTTTATTTTTAAATTTTGATATTCTATCAACATCTCAAAGTATAAGACACTTTTATATCTAAAATATATCTGATGATGCAAAAATATGTGTGTATTTGTAATATGTAATACCTTTATCATATGAGGTTTTTGTAGAATAGTATAGATTACAAAAAATAATAAAAATACTACTCCATAACAAATTTTATTTGAATGAATATATTAAAAGTATTTATATCTACTACTCCGTATGTAGTTTAATTTGACTTTGAAAATTTGGAAACAGATATAGCCTATATTCGACACATATCCGACGGATGCGGATACAATTTTGATTTTTAGCATCCGCCAAGATCCATATCTGAATTTGATATCCAATAAAAATAAATGTATACGGATTTGATAGTGGAACATCCGATCCGATTAATATCCGTTTACACCCTTACTTTCTCTCTCTCTCTCTCAATCAAACAAAATAAGTAGTCAGTCAATCAGGGATTAGTGGAGGTAGGAACCATCATTTTTTCAAACAGAACACCCTACGAGCTCCATGTCATCCCATGACATTGATGACCAATGTCACATGAACCATCTCGCCCGGTTCATGTGACATTGGTTACAAATGTTATGCTATGACACGGGCCCCTACGGCCTACGATGCTCTGTTCTAAAAATCAATGGTTCCCACGCCCTTAACCCTCCCCCCCAAAACCCCCTGCCCTCCCCTTTACTGTAGCCAATGGGCAGAGGGAGGGCTGCTGGGGGGTTAGGTGGTGTAAGAACCATCAATTTCTCAAACGGAGAACCGTGGGGGCCCCGATTGGAGCCCATGTCATAGCATGGCATTAGTGACCAATGTCACATGGACCGGGCCCGTTTATAATTACCTAGACATTCATAAAAGTTGTTTATACACATTTGGAGCAACAAACATACATTGATCAAGCTTTGTATACTAAATTTTTCGAATGCCTTCACGTGTCAACTGACTCAATCACGAATTGGCAGTGCTAGGGTTGCCCTAGCCCTGTGATGTATTCTTTGTGTCCAACCTTTCTTTGCACCATGTGTGTGATTTTTCAATTTGGGGAAGGAAATCTAATAATTCACCTTTCAGTTTAGAGTGTGCGATGGAGAGTTTGTAGAAGAAAAGTGGGCGATGCTATTTGGACTTCCCTATGCAGGTTGTGGAGGAGAACATAGGAGCCCGATGAAATTTCCAATGAACAATAAATGTAGGGGTTTGGACTTCTCAATAGGCAGATTTACGGATGAACAATTGAATTTTTGTTGCGGCTACCCAATACTCACTCAACATTTGTTGATTAATCACCAATGGTGCATAATGGTAGTTACTGGTGGTTACTACACGAGTTTTTGGGCGGGAAAGCCTTGGACAAATTTTATCTTGCTTCTATATAGTATATAGATATGCAGGCGAAGAACATAAGGAGCTGTATTAAAGTGAAGAGTTTTAACCAATCATATTTTTTTCGTGAGACGCCTTTCAGCTCCATAATAAATTACTCCGGTATATTATACCCCCTCCGTCCCTAAAAGTCTCTGCTTTCTTTTCTTTCATGTCTCAAAGTCCCTTTCTCCTTTCTATTAAATATCACTTTTACCGCTACTAATTCTTACCGTACCTGTCACATCATATTTTTTTACTAATAATCTACCGATCACATCATACTTTTCCCATCACATAAAGGGTAATTTGGAAAAGTCAACACAAAAATATCCATTCCTTAAATCACATAAAAGTCAAAACAAGGAGATTTAGGGACAGAGCGAGTATATTTTTTCACTACCAGTGTTGATCTCTTTGGTGATTAGACATGAGTTATGACTTTAGGATCCTACCTGGAATATGGGTTTACATAAGAGCGTCCGGAGGTCTAGGATTAGGGTGACAGGGTAGGATTTTGGGTAGTACTCTACCATTGTGTAGGACTAACTGCCTTAGTTTCTCCCCATGTTTATTTATTTCTTTCTACTTGTCTTTCCAATTTTCTTTTCATGTTTTTCAGTGTTCCTTTTGCTTTGAACTGGGGGACTCTTGGAAACACCCTCTCTACTTTTCAAGTAGGGGAAATATTTGCGTACACACACCCTCCCGAGACCCCACTCTTGGATTTTATTGGGTTTGTTATTGGTCTTAATCAGCACTGATCACTTTGATTCCAACATATTGTTATGTTATGTAATGGTTGACAGTTATTCTTTACCTGCAAATGTACGATAATCTTGGATTGGAAGTATGACCATTTTTGTTGTTTAATCTATAGTTTAAAAGCAACTATTAGATGTCATTTTGTTGTATCCGAACAAAGTTCTGAAGTCCAAACTTTTTAGATAAGACAAATCTTTTTCTCCGTGAGAATCAATTGTAGGATTTTTGCAGAAACTAATGAACTTCATTACCTGTTAGTGCTGGTTAGTGATACAACTGTTTCTGTTCAACATGAATGCTTCTTGCATTCAGTCACGTAGGATGAGATTTGACTAAAAGGTTGTCACATTTAGTTTACCTACATCTAAGGCCACTTGGCTTTATGTCATGGGTGTGTACACCCCGGAATAGTTTTAAATTTATTTACACTCTTTACTAATGTTACTGTCAGTTTTTTCATTTGTTGCATTTACTATTATTATTATTATTAATATTGTAAATATTATTAATATTGCAGTCAGTGGACAAAAGATTGCATCTCTGCTCAAAATTCCTATACTGAGTTCTTCCTGAATCAGCATACTATCATGGATATGCCAGAGGAGCAAAAACATGTGCGTAAAAAGTATGCTCCTCATTTATGTACTTTGTACTAGGTGGTATTTTAGTATCTCATTTGCTTACTAATATGCATATGTAATTATAGGGCAAGATTATTCACAGGTTCAGTTACTGAACAGAAGAAAACTTCTGAAGGTGGCCCAAAGAAAAGGTTTTTTCATCACTGATCTATCACTTGTTTATCTATTGTGGATTAAGTTGTGACTGATAAATATGTATCTTTTAGGGATAATGACCTGCATCGGTTGCTATTCATGCCGAATGGACTTCCTGATGGAACTGACTTGGGCTATTATTCAAAGGGAAAGGTAGCGTTTCACTCTTTCTGTTTGGCACCTTCTAAAGTATCATTCACTTATATAGTGAAGTTTAATCCATGTACATCAAACCAAACCAAATGAAACATACTCAGTATATCTCCCTTGGAAGTAGGGTGAGATCTATGCAAACCTGACCTCTACCTTCAGGAGTAGAGGTTTATATCATGAACACCTAGTGAAAAATATGGAAGATTTTGAAAGATGTAAATATCTTAAAAGTAGTGAAGTTTTGAAGTAATTATTTGGGCAATAAAGGTAAAAGATAAATTAGCTTCAAAAGGACATCAGGGTAAAGAGTAGGTAAGCAAAATACTAGCTATTACTCACAGACAGCACCCATAGTTACACAACCTAGAGAACCTTCAACCTCCGAACAACAGCTCCAAGGAATAAGTTTTCTTAATCCGGCATCTCTACAAATTCTTATAATAAGACATGGAGAGGTTTGAGGCTCCCATGTCATGTCTCAGCCTCTCATCCTAAGTCTTCAGCTACCTTTATACACTTCTACCTCCAACCCAAGCATTGCGACACCCTTTGGGCTTGCTGTCAATGATCTTTTTTAGTTCTCCATTGAGTCCTTTCTCTTCATTACAAATCTTCAAAAATAGTAATTTTGTGGTAGCTGCTGTCCCCTGCTCATTCCAATTTAATCTCCCTCTTCATTGGCTCGTTAAATTATGAAAATGACCTCCACATCTCTCCTTAATGGTTTCACCCTTCACTAGAACCCGCTCATTTTCATCCTTGATGCATCTTACTGTGCCTATGTGACTATGTCTAGACACCTTTCTCTGGTTTTCTCTAGCGTGTAGAATTTTCTCTTCCTTGTTCTCTAAATGTCTGTACACTTCCTTATGTGCACTATACTTTTCTGGTCTCACTGCCTTTTCGCTTCTTATTTTGCACCCATTTATGTATCCCATCTTTTCCTCTCCCCACCACCGACATGCCATGAGTTCTCAAGTGTGATTCATATGATATTATAATTTTCTGCAGAAAATTCTTGGGGGCTACAAGCATGGAAATGGTATACTTTGTAGTTGTTGCCACACCGAGGTAAAGTAACTACTTTGTACTACATCTGGCTTGAACACTGTATTCAACTGCTTATGTCTCCTTCCTGTCATCAATAAAATATTGGCCTTGTGTTCAGATAAGTCCATCCCAATTCGAAGCTCATGCTGGATGGGCTGCTAAACGTCAACCGTAAGTAGCTTTAAAAGTTTAGATATCATTTGTGCTACAAACACACACTAATAGGTTTTTTTTTCTAATTTCCAGTTACCGTCACATATTTACCTCTAATGGATTGACGTTGCATGATATTGCTTTAATGTTAGCAAGTGGTCAAAGTGTTGCCACCAACAGTAGTAATGATATGTGTTCTGTGTGCGGTGATAGAGGAGAATTAATCATGTGTGATGGATGCCCTCAGGCTTTTCATGCAGGTTGTTCTATTTCATGACAAATTTAATCAGACTGATTGAACTGTTGCTGTATTGTTGTTTTTGTCCTATTCATTTTTGTATTTTCATGTTCTGTACCTTCATATTATTGCATGTTTCTTTTTGTTATTTCTTTGGGGCTGAATATAGATAAGCCACATGAGCATAAATAAAATCCATATGACTTCGAAACTACATTAAAACTCTACTGAATGTTATGCATTCCATGTGAAATTGCTATAAAACATCTTAGGATTTGACATCATTAGAATTGCATTTGGAAATTCTGCGACGTAAAATATTGCCAGTGGTGTGTTGCCTTTTGTATGTGGCTCATATGCATTCATGTTTATTCCTGCAGCCTGTTTATGTGTTGTCGGTGTGGATTATGCTCCATCCAGCAATTGGCTTTGTCCACACTGTCAACCTAGACCCGAAAGAAATGGACAAGATACAAATGCAGAATCTAGGCCTATTATTATACGTCTCACTAGGGTGGTTAAAGCACCATCATATGAAAGTGGGGGTTGTGTGGTGTGCAGGTATGCGATGTACTTCCTTAGTTCCACAGTATTCGTCCAGTTTGACACTTTGACTTATTCAGACAAAGTGGATTAACTTTAATTTGATCATCAATTTAATAAAAATTGCATTGCATATTAATTCAAAAATGATTTCATTAGATTTATCTTGCATAAAAAAAACTTTCATAAAGATTTCATGGGATGGAGGCAGTAATAGTTATTTATGTGTACATTTCTACATATTGCACAACAGATTTCATAAGCTTCCCCTGGATGATAAAAAAGATCATAGAGCCTTAATAGGTTTGTTCCAACTAATTTCTATTAGAACAATGAGAAAGTATACTCTAGTTCTTCCTTAGGAGCGGTTTTCTTCACTATGTGCTTTTTCCAGCAGTAATAAATATGGATGTTTTATGGATCATTCCATTCAATGTTTATTCTGTTGATGATCCCCTTACACTATGTTTGGTTCTAGGATTTTGAATGGGAAAAGAAAAGAAAATGAGACGGAAAACAATTATTCTTTTTTGGTTTGAGAGGAAAAAATAATGAAAAGTGGAAGGAAAAGAAAATGAGAAGACTAAATGTGCTAAGAGGAGAAAAACAAAATCCCTCCCATTTTGGTGAAGAAAATGCAAGAAAGTAATTTTCTTTTGTTTTCCTTCCAAATTCCTTGAACCAAATATAGTGCGTGTTATTACCTATTACTTTGTTGCACACTTTTCTTGAGCTGATCAATTCTATTTACTATGTAAGTTCAAAATCGTACAATGATATCTTAAATAAGAAAGGTTATAAGTTCAAAATTCACCTAATTGTACGTATTACTCCACCGTCCTAGAATTTTCTTTGTGTTTTTCCTTTTGGGATGTCCCAAAAAGTTTCTTCCACTTTCCTTTTAAGGAGAGAATTGTGTGGTTCATATAGTTTCCCTCTCCGCATAAACCTCAAGCCATAGTGTCTACTTTATTAAAACGCGAGCAAAGTCTAAAGAAATACAGGATAGAGAGAAACATTTTTGGTACATATAATCTGAAATGTGCTCCAATTATACACAAAATCAGAGGAAGAAGTGAACAGGGAAGACCACTGATGCACTTTGCCAGTGATTGGATCTTTCTAATGAATACATTAAAAACGTCATCATAATCAATCTTTAGTTTTTGAACAATAGAACAAGTTTGATTTTTACAATCTTCTAACTCTTTATTCATGGTTATGTTGATTGATTGCTTCTTAAAGGTTCATTTCATAATTACTAAGGTCACTCATCTTGGCTTACAACGACCATCTTTTTTAGGGACATCTTTAAACATCATTGTTTCCCTAAGTATGGCCAAATTAATTATGAGTTCAAAATATTTGGAAGGATTTTGAAGCACGACAACTGCATATGATTTTGACTTCAAGTTGGATTGCCTACCATCACTTCTGTCAATAATTTAGACTTGCTTGCAAATGGCTCACTTTTTTAAAAAAATCCATAAATGTTAGGGCGCAACATATGTGGCTTCTACTCTTCTAGTCAACATAAACTATCCTCATTACAATAAGAATTTTGTTGCTCTTATGCAATCTTTTACAACACTCCACAATCTAGAAGATAGCAAAATGTCACTTTCTTTGGTGGGTACAAATTTATATCTTCTCCCGCTGCCACCACCTAATATAATTCATAATGCTTTTCTAATAGGAATTTTGTTGCAACTCTAATAGTATTGGGTATTTCAAGATCAGTCACACCTTTCCCCTCTATTTAATGGAGGACCCTTCCATGCTCGTAAATAACAGTATTAATGTGTGTGGCTCTTTCTGTAAGGAACTTAAACTTAGATATGTTATCAATATCCTCCAACATAAGGTGTACCCACCTCAACAACGTGCATTCCATGAAGTCCAAAATAATAATGTTTGTACTCTCCACTTTAGTAATTTGCATGTTGCCTCGCCTTTTAACTAGCATTATTATTTGTCATGTCTGGACTATTGGAATGGTAATTAACCAGTACAAACTCTTTTGATCTTTCCATCCATCACACATAAAGTTGCAACCATATTTTTAATAACAATCCCATGTTTCTCTCTCAACTTTACTCTCTCTATGTTGTTAAGAGCAATTAGCAAGCACTCAGTTAAGTCTTTGTTTTTTCTAGGCAAAATTCATAAATACATCCCGGGTCTTTAGATTTTGCCTTTCGCATGTGAGATCGATCATAATTTTCTGTACTCTACCTTTAAGCAGCCACTATTCTGGAGAAGCTGGCCACAAAAAGAAGGAATATCAAAATGAATCAAATAGGACAAGAAATCAAAAAACGAGAAAAAGATGGGTGCACGATCATGATGCATGTTACATTGAGTGATTTATTTTATGGAAAGAATAAAAGAGCTATCAAGTAGCCGATTGATTTGCTCAATTATGCCTGATAGATTTTAGTTTAATCTAATACAAGGAACTGATTTGCTAGGATTTCTTACTTTTTAGGTCCTTCAGTGCATGTAAACGTTATCATAAACGAGAGCTTTTCTTTTCCAAAAAACACCAAAAAATGTATTAAGAAGAAAACCTAAGAGGTTTCTTTAGGAGACAAAAGACTCACTACAATTCCAACTTGTTAGTTGTTACTTCTCTCTTTCATTTTCCTGCCCATTTACCCTCCATTCAAACACGGCATCCATGGCCAATTGGCTACGATCATCCCCACAACTGGTTGTCAAAAGTGCACCTGAGGAGTGACGCGCAAGGGCCTGTGCATCAGGCTCTGTGACGCAGGTGATGTACTGGAGGTGCACGCGTAACCAGCACATTATTGCATTATGCAATGCGTTTGAAGTGCTATAAAGCGCACATCACGAACCAATCTTTTTTTTTTTCATTTTTGATTAGGGTTGATGCTACTGAGTTCCGGCCCTCTCTGCTTTGAGCCCTTCGATCTAAGAATCACAAGCTCCTCTTAGTCTCTGACTTCATTGCTTCGACTTTCTATCTCTTTTTTGTCGACTCTCACCCGACTCTGCTGCTTAGAGGTTTTCCACATGTTAGTAATTTGGGTCACAGGCTCGCAGCCTCGCAGGGTTTTTGGAGTGTGATTGCAAGCTTTTAGCAGTTATTCTTCTTGGAGTTAATTTTATTTTTCTTGAAGGTTTTTATCGATCTTTTTTTCAAAACAATCTTCTTGTACGTAACTTACTGGCAGCAAGTCAGCTGTCAAAAAAAGCTTTTCGAATCATTACTAATTTATATGTATCATTACTAATTTGGAAGTGCTATGCTACATGTTCCTCAATTCGTGCCTCATGTTTGTGATGCACGTGCATCAATGGGGCCTCGCTTATCAAGGTGCCAGGGGCCTTTTGTGCTTTGGTGCGCATTGTGCCTTCAACAGCTTCAACCAAACAAACCTAATCGCTGTGTCATTGAAAACAACATCCCGGATACATAGCATAATATTCTCTAAAAACTGAAAAAATGAGGAAAAAAACAATGAAGTAAGATAGAAAAGTCAGTGTTTCTCCGTCTACAGCAAGAAAAGACCCTGTACAATCCTGACTCTTCCAACTCTGGTGGGCTCTCTGGGGTCAAGATGTAAGCAACCATGCACCACAAATAGACTATTGTTTGTAAGACCCTTGATGCAGCATTTATTGCCCAACACCTCATGGATAATAGGAAGCAAGGAAAGTTTAGTGTTTTGTTTTTATTTAGAGGGTATTTGGCAGTGCGGTGCCTTTTAGAATTCAGCTTCTGCTTTGGGTTGTACCTGTTCTACTATGTTTGGAGTGTCCCCTTTTGCTTTTATCCACTATTTTGCACATGAAACACAATTTTGGAGAAGTAGATATTAGGTTCTTTTGCTTTCAGATTTTGTTAAAACCATAGTTTGTAAGGCGTTGCCTAGGCGATAAGGCGCTGTCACTGGGACGCCTTGTTTGCTCGCCTCGCCTAGAAATCCTTAAGGCGACCAGGCGCTCGCCTTTCCTCGCCTTACCTCGCTTTACCTCGCCTTGATTCGCCTTACCTCGCCTTGATGCCTTGGGCCCTTTTAAAATTTTGAAAAAAACCATTTTTTTAGTGCAGCCCATTTTCTTCTAGTGTAGCCTAATAGACTTAAACTTATCTTCTCTCTTTCTCGGTGTTCTTTGTCTCAATCAAGCTACCTAAAAATGTATAAGACCTGTATATATATGTGTGTGTGTGTGTGGGCGTGTGTGTGTGTGTGTCTATATATATATATATATATATATATATATATTTGTCGCCTAGTCATCGCCTAGGCGTGCGCCTGGTCGCCTAGGCGATATGAAGGTACATTGGCGCCTCGCCTCGCCTTGGCGCCTTACAAACTATGGTTAAAACCATTTTATCCACAAGTTTATCACTCTCAAACACCCTCTTATAGTCTGTTCTTTAGGACTGGAAAAAAAGAGCTGGATGTTGGAAGAAACTTGAAAAAACTAGAAGAAACTGGAAGGAACTAGAAGAAACTTGAAGAAACTGGAAGTGTTAGGGGTGAAACGGGGTCTTATCAAGTTGATAATTTAGTGGCGGATTTGCGGAGGAAAATGGAAGGGAAATACTGGGCGAAAGTATGGAGGGTGTTTTAGGAGTTCTTTTTGGTAGTTTATGGAAGAAAAGAATAGGATTAAGAAGGAGAAATGGAGGGATATGAAATGGGAGAAAATCAGGGATGGATAAACCAAGTTGGTGTTTAAGATATATTACACACTCTTATCCTAACTTGGGGTTTGAATCTAGAATTTAATTAAGATATGACACACTTAATCAAATATCTAGAACCTAAAACTCACTCTTAAGATATAGAATTAGGAATCTGGCTAAAATAGCATCACACTATTTTATGGATACTCAAAGAGTAAAGGATTTTCAATGTTCAAAGCTGTCTTACAATAGCCATAGGCCTGAGTTATATAGGCAGGGGAAAGGGGGAAGAAACACACAATACATTGAATGTAAACATTAGGAAACTTCCTAGCAACATCCTTCTCCAAAGCATGGGGTAATCTTTCTTCATTCCTGTCTCCTTGGTGGACTAAAATCAGGGATGGGGCTGGGGTTTGTGGGGGTTTTGAGCTTTGGTTTGTAGTGGTTGTTTCCTGGGTTTTAAGGCTATTATTTGGGTAAAAATGAGGGGTTGTGTTTGGCCAATAAAAGGGGACAAGGCTGGGTAATATTAGGGGTGGTTTTGGACATATGGGTTTGGGTTATTGTGAGGAAAACATGGGCAGGAATGAGTGGCTAGTGGTGGGGTAGGGTTTTGGCTCTTTGTGGGTGTTTATGTTGGGTTGTGAGTTTTCATTGGCCAGGAAATAAAAGGAAGGAAGGGAAGGTTCTACTTGTTTATTAAAAGGCTTAAAAGAAGAAAAATAACAACAAACAAAAGATTTTTGGTTTGCACACTCTTATTTTTGGCCAGGGGCTAAAATAAAAGTA